ACATGGAAAGATTCAAATCACCAGCTAACAAAAGAGAATCCATCCATCCATCTTCTCCCGCTTATCCGAGGTCAGATCGTGGAGGCAGCAGTCTCATATTTCATAATACAGAAGGAAAGCAATTCTGAGAAGCGTGAGAGAAATGCCAGTGCAAGTTTAGGTGGTCGATAAATTAGCATAATCATCACTGATGACTGACCTTTTAATGTCCATAAAAGCTGGATATAGAGTGACGGAGAAGGTGCCTGGTGCAGCCTCCTTACAGGCAGCAGTCTGAGTATAGAGCAGTGAGACACCCTCCTTTCTGAAGGGGGGGGGCTGTTTGCCTTAAGGATACTGCCCCATCACAGTATTACCATGTTTCAGTTAAGAATATAAGATCTAGTTAATTAATCAATCATAAAAACACTGGTTACACTTTACCTGTGGGGGCACAAGTAACTTAGTAACTCAGTTACTACTCAAGTACAAATCATGAACACATATAGTAACTGCATGACATACATGAACTGATATGATTGATTAATGATGAACAAACATGACATCAGAATGTAACTAACAATTATTTTCTGCTTAATTAATACATTAAGTAAAAGGGTACTACTACATTATTTGTGCCCCCTCAAAGTGTTACCAAAACATTTAGTTATTCAGTGAGCTGGCACTGAGTAGTGTCATCTTGGGTGTGTTACCTAGTTGTGTCGAAGTTTTGTTCATTACCAATGAAAATTAAATTTGAATAATTCCTCCTTATAATTCCCGTAACACTGAGAGAATTGCCGCAGTCTGTGATAATGGGTAGGTATTTCACAGTGATCGGTGAGTTCTGGGTGGGGTTTACTCATGAATTCATCTCCTATCCAGTTGGTGACATATCTCTGTCATTATCCAGGGCAACTTTGAGCTGGTCTGCCAACACGTCGGAGCCAGAGAAGCTTGGATGAAGGTCATCTCTGCGATCGTCATGGTCTATCCCAAATGGTCCCCGTTATCCGTATAGTCTACGTGTTTGTCCACTTTCCTGGCAGGGGAGATGCCATGATCATGAGGGTGGTTCACCGAGGGCTGTGTCGACCCCTGTGAACTCCCCAAGTGTGGGAATCTTGACTGGATACATTTTGGTAGTGAGAGAATGCGTTTGCACTCTGCCCTCATATATATATATTCCCCAGGAGCTAAATAATTGCTACCCACTGCTATGCCACATACAGTATGGGTTCAATGCAGAGGACACATTTAGCTGTGGTCCACTTTGTGCAGTGATGTGTCAACAACGACAATTAATCACTTCACTTAAATGCAGCACTTTAAGGCAACTGTCAAACTCAGTCTACTGCAACTTTCCAGCCTCACTTCCCTGTATGAAGAATCTTCTTGCATTTGGATGGATTGTATCTCACCATCCAAAAGCACGATGCTAATATGCGGGTGTGTGTTTGTATCTGTGTTTGTATCCAGGATGGTCCCTGTCCTCAGATGAAGAACAGATCACAGTAACCCCCAATTGATGCGCAGTGAATGGAAACAGACGGGTGTGTTTCAGATGTCTGACATAGTTTGAAAGCATTATGTGGCTCCTTTGGCTGTGATTTGGGATGTGGCTCATTTGGCTGTGATTTGGGATGTGGCTCCTTTGGCTGTGATTTGGGGCACATTACTCTCTCTCTGCTTTGTTGAACACTCTACCACACACATGCTGCATACAACCAGCTCCACATACGGCCATCTATAAAAATCAGATACCCCTGCATGTGCTCTGCGTTTCCTGGGAAACGCTCCAAGCTCACTGTGACCCTACCTTGGAAAAGC